GATATGCTTCTTCTTTACCTTCTCTCTATTTTTTTATAGTTGATATTGTTTTTTTGACCAAATTTTGGGACAACCCACAAGTTATACCTTCTATCGGTAATACTGTAGTACCATGCAATTCATTCTCTAGCCAGCAATAAAGAGTATTTCCTAGTAAAAATTGTGGCAATTTTAATTTGTTAATAACTTAAATTTCTAAAAATTTATAATGTTTAAAAAATACCTATTATTTCAACTTTAATTCCCCATTTAACCATGTAAAAGTTGTCTCCATCAAAATCCCCTTCACTGCAAGCAAATTCTTTATCATTAACAAGTTGTATTCCTCTCAGGCAAATAGCTGCCATTGCATGGTCCAAAAAATTAAGATCGGTGTGAACAAATTTGCTGTATCTCCAGGCTATATATAGTAGGTCTCACATAGACCTAAAGAATGGTTTAAATATATTTTTTTATTATCAAAAGAAACTATAATTCCTTTGTCGGTAGTCAAAGTAGATTGTATTCTTCTATTTTTTTTTGTATACTTGAAATCATATCTTCAGGAAATATATGTATGGTATAGTTGAAAAGAAAACAGTTCATTACTACAACTTTCTCTTCTTGTAAATATTGATTTTTGAACCCTCGTAATTCAACAGGTATGTTATGTATATGAATAAATATTCTACTTTCTCTTGTCAAAAGATACCTGCAAACATTAACATTAATAAAGTTTTAAAAATTAAAAACTTAAGTTTACTTAAATATATACCCTACAGCTATTAAGGCACCTTGATTCAATTCTTTGATTTCTGACAATCGGGCTTACAAAATTTTTATGTGTCTTTTTTTTGGATTTTTTTGCTTCGTCAATGTCGACTCTCAAAGTAGTAACAGTATTTTTCAAATCATTATCACAAGTAACCAAGAATCTCAAAAAATCTCTCTATCAGTTGATCTGATATTGTTTTATTGTTAATAAACTTAAATTATATACAAGTATATTTACATATTGATAAGTATCAATGTTAGGATCGAAAAAAAAAAAAACTCTTTCCGCTGATCCATTATTTTTCTAAAAATTTTCTTTTTTGGCAATTTTTTTGAAAAAGCAAACCTGGTCAAACACATAAGGAAAAACAACATATTTTTCAAACCAAGCTACCAAGCTTTAGCAACACATATACAACAAGCCCTTCAGAAATATCAAGGAAAGAGGTATACATTGTTTTACTAATTTTCTTTTACTTCTTTTTCTTAAAATTTTTAGGAGAAA